TTGATCAGCAACCTGCCACGACGGGGGGCCAGATTTTCGAGGCTGCCGTTGTGGTTTCGGATGTACCCTTCGTCCTTCGTACCTGGTCGTGCCTCCTCATCAGCTGCTGAAAGAGGAAATGGCGTTGTTGTCGATGACTATGAATCCGAGTCAGACCTCAATCCTAACGATGTTAGGATGTTTGAGGAGGGTATTACCCACTCGGTGGTTCGTGCGGGAGGACCGGCCCGTATTCTTGAGATTTCTTCGGATGGTAATCTCCTGGGGGACACGGAGGATCTGGTGCCACAGTTCGACATTTTGTGTTCTGTTGTCGAGAACGAGGCTCTCCGGAACGTTCCAAATATCGATTTGATGAATGAGGTGGCCGCTATGGGCTTGAGAGTATGTTGCACTTTTCTTTTATACTTCTCTCATTTTTTCTTGTTGATATGGCTTTAACTCGTCTTCTCGTCTTTCAGACGTACATGGTGGAAGTGGAGAGTATGCGCAGGACCGACATTCGGGCCAAGATTTTCATGAAGACGTTGGAAAAGTATCGACGCTATCGCAACAAGTGCAGTGAGATGCACGAGCGACTGAGGGAGAATCCTAGTGCTCAATCCCTTGGCGAGGAATTGGAGAAAAGAGATCAGCAGTTGATGGAGGCCAGTGTTCATGGTTCAGTTTGGATCGGTTTTTCCCTAAAAAGAAACCAAACCAAGTAAGTCGGTTTTTCAAATATTAGAACCAAACCAATTAAGTCAGTTTTCTCAATTCGGTTTATGTCGATTTTTCAGTTTTTTCGGTTATTTGTCGGTTTTTTCTTAAATATAAGACATACACTACCAAACACATGTTCTGGCGACCACATTTCAATGTAACACTATCAAATCAATTGCCCTTTGAGAAATCTATTATTTAACAAGATATATTGATGATAATTGAATCAAATAGTGATGGATAATTTAAGGACTCAATTAAAAATATATTATTTTTAACACAAAATAGATTGTTACACTAAACAAAAGAAAACTACAAATCAAACTAGAATGTAAAGGTAAAGAACTATATTAAAAGTGCAAACTATTAATATTTACCATAAATTTTTTGAAACTTTGTATAAAAATATGCATATATGTAGGTGTAATAATAAATTTGAAATAGCTACTCCTATAGTCGGTTCGGTTCAATTTTTTTTTATTAAAACCAAAACCAAACCAAATTTGGACGGTTTTTAAAATTCAAAACCAAAACCAAACCAAACCAAAAAGTATCGATTTTTTTGGTCGGTTTGGTTCGGTTTTTCGGGTTTTAATGAACACCCCTACGCAGGAACAGTGTGCTCGAAGAGCAACTTCGCGCGAAGGATGAAGAGCTCGAGGTGGGAAAAGGGAGTGTGACTATCTGCAGGGGAGACTGAGGTCAATGCTGGCCAAGATGGATCAGAATCTCATCAAGGTCGAGGCGATGAGTGCAGAGTGGATGGGAAAGATGGCAGAGTTGGAGAGAAAGGTCGCCGGGTTGGAGAGAATCGAGAGTGCCTGGTCTGCGACTTCAGCAAGGGCGGCGGCCTTAGAGAACACTATATGCGTCCTCCAGTCCGAGCAGGAGTCGGAGAGAGCGACGGCAACGCTAATGGAGGCGAGGCTTGAGGAGCGCATTGATGAGATCGACCGGGAAGCTTCGACCTTAGGTGATCGGGTCACGACTCTTGAGGCTGAAAAGGAACGACTGTTGGCTCAGATTGAGTCTTCCTCTGCCACTGTTCCCCGCCGCTTACACGAGCTTTGGGTTCATGCTGAAGCTCAGCGAGATATATACAAGAGTTTGGGGGAGGCGGGCAATGTTACTGAGGCCGCATATGAAGAAGCACGAGCAAAGGTGCGAGAGGCTCGTGTCAACTGTGGTTATGACTCTGCGATTCCGGAGGCCGAGGAGGGCGCGGATGATGAGGGTGGGCTTCCTGGATATGATGGCGATGATGGTGGCGGTGATGACGCCGAGTGAAATAATGCTGTCTTAGTTTGTTTTCTGTTTGCTTTTTTTTTATTCATCATAGGTTGTCGTTGTTCCTTTCTTTTTTTTTTTTTCTTTTTTTAAATTGTTGGCTTGGGTTGTATGTAATCTGCGACCGTTAGCGCGGTGACTTTGTATAAAGAAGAAATTTTTCGTTGCTATCTACCTTGTACTTTATCTTTGCTTTCGCTTTTCGTGATTTTGGTACGGGATAGATTCCTGTATGGCGAGTCCCGGTCTTTCCTTCCCTTTTTGTTTTCTGACGGCGCTTGGCCTTAGATGTATTTCGAACTTTTCTATTTGGCGATGGCTCGCGGCCCTAAAGAGTGTTATTTCGAACTTATCGAAATAGTAACCTGTCGTCGTTCGATCAAGGTCGAACTCTCTCTTCTTCTTTTTTTGGCGAAGGCCCTTGGCCTTAAAGGGTGTTATTTCGAACTTATCGAAATAGTAGCCCGTCGTCGTTACATCGAGGTCGAACTCTTCTTTTTTTGGGGGGGAAGGCCCTTGGCCTTAAAGGGTGTTATTTCGAACTTATCGAAATAGTAGCCCGTCGTCGTTTCNGTCCCAGTTTTTGGAGAGTCAGGCATCCTCCGAGGGAGTCCCGGTTTGCTTGATATTGTTTGTATCAGAGGGATTAATGTCGGCGAGTATGAAACGTTGTTGTTTCGCTTTTATTTTGTGCCCATACAGGAGTTCCTTTGCCTGATTCCGGCCTGAAGATGTTATCGGCGGGCGATATTTCGGTTGTCTTGTAGTAGTTTCTCATTCTTTGATTGAGATGTTTCTTTGCTCGTTCGCCCGCGCGGCATTTGTGTTCCTGCTTGAGCAAAGAGAAGAAGGTGAGTTAAAATGATATTTTCCTTACCCCCATCCGATGGAACGATGAATGAGAGCAGGTTTGTAACGTTGCTCGTTTTGTTTGGTATTTCGACGGTTGATGGGGCGAGGATTTCTAAATTCGGTGACTCTATTCAACTCTCTTTCCCCTTCCATGCTGCGACTTTGTCCTGCGTGGGTTGGGTTTTGCCTTAGCGCTCTTTCTGGCGGGTAATCGTGTTTCTTGTCTTTGATCTGGAAGAGACTAGGAAACTTCACTAAGAAATCCCCACAGACGGCGCCAAATTGTTTGACTCAAAAGATATTGTGACCTTCTTGAACAAATCAATTAGAGAAAATGAAGGGATAAATCTTAGTTAGACATAATAAATTCCAGATCAATGAGCTAATTGGAAAAATAGTATATAAAATAAAATAGAGATAATCGATCTTATTGAAACCCTTCATTGTGGCTCCCATTAATTAATAGGAGAGGCAATTTTACACGTTTTCCTAGAGATTAATTCTTTCTTACGAAGATTACAAGGAGAGAATTTAGGAGAGAGGATGGAAAGGAGCCCCCCTCATCGAAGGTTTTCCCCTGCTATATATAGGGGTGTTCATAGTTCAGTTTGGATCGGTTTTTCTCTAAAAAGAAACCAAACCAAGTAAGTCAGTTTTTCAAATATTAGAACCAAATTAAACCAATTAAGTCGGTTTTTTCTCGATTCGGTTTATGTTGGTTTTTCGGTTTTTTCGGTTATTTGTCAGTTTTTTCTTAAATATAAGACATACACTACCAAACACACATTTCGGCGACCACATTTTCAACGTAACACTATCAAATCAATTGCCCTTTGAGAAATCTATTATTTACCAAGATATATTGATGATAATTGAATCAAATAGTGATGAATAATTTAAGGACTCAATTAAAAATATATTATTTTTAACATGAAATAGATTCTTACACTTAACAAAAGAAAACTACCAATTAAACTAGAATGTAAAGGTAAAGAACTGTACTAAAAGTGCAAACGATTAATATTTACTATAAANATAATTGAATCAAATAGTGATGAATAATTTAAGGACTCAATTAAAAATATATTATTTTTAACATGAAATAGATTCTTACACTTAACAAAAGAAAACTACCAATTAAACTAGAATGTAAAGGTAAAGAACTGTACTAAAAGTGCAAACGATTAATATTTAATATAAAATTTTTAAAACTTTGTATAAAAGTATACATATATATAGGTTTAATAATAAATTTAAAATAGTTACTCCTATATTCGGTTTGGTTCGGTTTTTTTTAATTAAAACCAAAACCAAACCAAATTTGATCGGTTTTTAAATTTCAAAACCAAAACCAAACCAAACCAAAAAGTATCGGTTTTTTGGTCGGTTTGGTCTGGTTTTCGGTTTGGTTCGGGTTTTCGGATTTTTATACACCCCTAGTCAAGGCACCCTTGCAATTTACTTGGTATGACGCTCTCTCACACCAAGTATGCCTTGGTCGTCCTCTGGACATTGTTCCTTTTGACTCGACGGGTATCGAGAGTGTCGGATGTAGAGTAGGCCATGTCGTCTTTTGATGCCTTGTCGTTTGGGCGGGACGTTGGTCAGCTTGGCCGTGACGGTCGGATTTTTACCAATACATAATTCTTATGATTCTTTATACAGAAGAATAATACTATCAGAATATCCTCAACATGAGAAATATTAAAGATAGCTAAGATCCTCAAATATTCGGCAGGCTTATGAATGTTCAAGAAGGCGGTTACTGATATTCATGTCATAATTATAATTATTTGAACTAGCAAAAAGAAAGGCCTCGTGATAGGCGCAAACTGCTTACCGCCGCTATAATCACAAGCAAAAAAAACACTCAGATACTAACAGCCAAAGACTGACCGTAAGTCCGTAACCCTGAGTAAATTAATGCAAAGCGTGTCTGTGTCAGCATTTATCGCTAGGTGTCATCCTAGAGATTTAGCACGTATCACGGTAATGCTTCTCGAATTTCTAGGGTTGCAGAGTTAATATATGATCTAATAATCGAGTGCAGCTTCAGGATAAGTACAAACAAACAGAAAATACAGAAAGAGTAGCGAAAATAGGAACGACTGTTAATTAAGAAGGAAGATCTAATGATATGAAGAGTTTTAAGGAAGAACCTGTTAGTGCTGGAGAAGTCGTAGAGTCTGCGACGGTTGGAGAAGACGACAACAGCAACATCGACGTCGCAAAGAATGGAGAGATGTTTGGCTTTCTTTAGAAGCCCTTTCCTCCGTTTTGAAAACGTCACTTGTCTGCTGTTCTTGTCTTTGATTGGCTTTATTTCCACCTTCTTCCGCCCCATTCTTATTTAATTCCCCTCAAAATCTGAACTACTCTACCAACCAAGCCAAGCCCCAAATTGGAAATTTTTTTTGTGGAGATTTCCGTTTCTATGTATTGCTTCGTATCACTATCATCATATCTTGGGGTTTTATAACGTTGACAACTTCTTTTTCCTCTTAATCTTTCACTATTCACAGAAAAAAGATGTTTCACTGTTCTCCCCCGCCCAACCACTCTCTCCAGTATTCACTTCCACCATCTTTTTCTGCTTACGTTTTAACCTGCTAGAGCAGTAAATGGCAAATTTATTAAACTGTCGAGATGTATTCACACTTTCGACTTAATAGGAAGGCACCAAAAACCCGCCCAATTATGCGAATTTCGTGGCTGCAGGACTGACTGACACTGCTGCGTTGGCCGCGTAGTCCCGTATTTTCAGCTGATTGGCTGGAAATGGAAAATTGGAAGAAGTAGAAATACTTCCCTATTTTACAATTGAACTTTGGAATCATTAAATTACCGGGTGATAGCTCCTTTGACTCGCTTCTTTTACTTTCTATTGAAAATCGTTTAAGTATACAACTCAACTTTGCTTTAAAATTTTTAAAAAATTAGACCCCCTACAATTTTGTACAATAGATATTTCCCTATTTTTTAAAATATTTTATTTATCCTGTATATTATCAGTTTTTTATTTTTATTTTTTAATATTATGATTTTTTAAATCTATATTAGGAACCTATCTATAGAATAAATAAATACCTACTTTTGGAATAAAAAAGAGCAAAAAATAAAAATGAAATATATAAGTTAAGATATTTAATAATGAAATAAATGTAAAAATAATTTATTCATATCAATAATTAATTTATTAATAGCAATTAAAATTCAAAAATCTATTTGCCCAACTTAGAATAAAAAAGAGAGAAATTTTGTAAGTGTATATTCAATGCTCTTAATACAAAAAAATAATTGCCACTTTAAATAAATTTTAAATTTTAATTCACAAAACATTTCATTAGTGATAAGTTATTAGGTAAGGATCTATCTTTTTAAATATGTGTTAGATATACACTAAATTATAAACGTCTAAAACATCTTCCCCATCGCTCCTGGTATCATATATGTTTTGATATGAAATTTTAATTTGTTGGAATATAGGTATCCACCGTATATATGATCGTTAAAAATTGCGATAAATCCAACAGGCAGCAGAAGTATTATCATTCCGTAGTTTTTTATTTGCATCATTTTTACTCTACTTGTAGAGAATGAAACTATTTTATCCGTTTTAGTCTGTATCTAGGGGTGGGCATTCGGTCGGTTCGATTCGGTTTGAAGAAATTCGGTTCGATTTTCGGTTTTGTAAAGGTAGTAACCGAAACCGAACTAAAATAACTTCGGTTCAGTTCGATTTTTCTAATTTCGGTTCGATTTCCTATTTGAACATTATCATATTGGACTCCTTCTATATAATAATACGACCGGTGAATTAGTTGATTTTTCCCAAAACTTCGAAATTGTTGGAAATATTGTGTTTATAGAAGAAAAAAAATAGACTAAACTTTGCATACTATTATGGATCATAAAATTCAAACATAGTATAAATTACAACTCTGTGTAAAATTCTCCCGGTATCTATCATATATGCTATGGAAGTTTTAATAAACTGAAAGTCTTTAAGATTGGAAAGTTGATGGACTTACTCAATTGGGTTGAGTCTTTGATAGATTGGACCTAATAGTATTAATTTAGAGAAATTTTCATAAAGCACTATCTTTTAGTAGTAATTAGTCATCTATAGATACCATTTGCTATATTACGGATTATAGATACCTTTTATGTGGTTATAAGATGTATTTAAGCTATTGTATTCATGAATACAGTAGCAAAAATAGGCGTGAATCAGGGAAGTCCAGCTAATCAGTTGTTGTATTCGACTGTATTCATGGAGTGAAACATGTGATTATAGCTGGACAAATTATTGTATTCGACTGTATTCACGGCGTGAAATAGGGGATTACACTGTTTTTAAAACGGAAAATGAATCAATTAACACAATAGACTCCTAATATAACTCAACAAACTCAATTATAACACACAAATTTTGTATTTTCAGTTATAAAAAAGATTTACAACCGAAAAATACCCCAGAAACATAGCAATCTTCAGAGAAATTATATAATACATCTGAATACATAAATTATATTAATTAAAAAAAACTTATGAATACATTCATGGCATATAGAGAGACAGTGAATACAATGAAATACATAGAATACGTCGGGATACATTGAAATACAATGAGAAAAAAAGACAGTGAATAAAATAAAATACATGGAATACAATGAGATACATTGAATTACAATGAAAAAAAAGACAATGAAATACATGAAAATACATTGAAATATATTAACAGAAAATCAAGTTGCTCAGCCCCAAACTCTATCGTCTTTGTTCAAGAACAAACCCTAATTTCCGGCGAATCTGCCGTTCACCGGAAGCCGGTAGTGAAAACGCGCCGCCTTCGTGGAAATTTCACTCTGAGTTGTTTGGCAATAAAAACTATATTCACATCTTTCCAGTCACAAAAACAATCTTCGGTAGCATTGCATCTAGCACTCTTGTTTCGTCAAGTAAGCAAGGGAGGTCCATTCTCAGCAGCAGTTCGAGTATGTTCGTGACTATGGCTTCTTGACATTTGTAAATCTCGATTGAAACTGGTCCTTGACTTCGCATAAGGAGCGTCTCTCCCTGGATAAATTGGAAAAGCCATTTTAATGCAGAAACACATCCGGTGGAAGGAGGAGGAGATCGAAAATTTTAATGAGATGGGGGAAGAGAATGAGATATATCAAAGTAGAGAGAGAAAGAAAATAGTGTAACTGATTAGCGTATTTAGTGGCTTAGGGCTAGGAGGTAACCAAAATTAAATATTTTGCTATAAACCTTAAAAAGTATCTATAGAATATAACTTTTTTAAATGGTATTTATTTAAAATAAATAAGGTGTTAACCTTTGCTATAGGAGGTAAAAATTCCATTAATTTATTACATATGGGCTTAGCCTATATATAACTTAAAGAACATATATGCTAATAATTTGGTTTTTCGGTTAACCGAACTAAAAAACTTAATAACCGAAAACCGAACCGAAAAATCGAAATTTTAAAATTTTAAACCGANGGGTGCACTCGCCTGCCACTTTGATTTTTCTATATATGTGGAATTTTTTTGAAAAAATAAAATATGTTTTTACCTTTTTAAGTATGTTACCTTTTTATATAATTTTTTTCGAATACAATTTATAATAAAACTTGGATAGAACTATATTATTTAGGCTAAAAAAATTTATTTGGCTAAAAATAATAAAATTTTAGTTAATCTTTTTTTGAATTTGACCTGAAAATAAAGATTTATACAATTAAAATAAATAGTCAAGGCATTTAAATAGTTGTAAAAATACATAGTTTGAAATTAATTATTTTGGCTATAATTTTTTATATAGCTCCAAATTATGGTGCTCTAAAAATATACTTTTTACATATTTTAACTGAAAAAGTAAAAATACACAGTTGAAATAAATAGTCATTGCATCAAAAGAAGAAATAAAGAGAGTGAACAATTGCAAGAAATAACTTATTATTTCTAACATACTTATTGCTCTAAAAAAACTGATTGCAGAAATGCAGGGTAAGGCTGCGTACGATAGACCCTTGTGGTCCGGCCCTTCTCCGGACCCCGCGCATAGCAGGAGTTTAGTGCACCGAGCTGCCCCTTTTTATTGCTCTAAAGATGTATCCATAGAGTAAATTATTTTTTTTGCAATTGTACACTGTTTGTTTCTTCTTTTGATACAATGACTATTTATTTTAACTGTGTATTTTTACTTTTTCAGGTAAAATCTATAAAAAAAAAAAATTAGAGCACCATAATTTAGAGCTATATAAAAAATTATAACCAAAATAATTAATTTCAAACTATGTATTTTTATAAATTTTTAAATGAATTGACTATTTATTTCAATTGTATAAATCTTTATTTTCAGGTCAAATTCAAAAAAAGATTAACTAAAACTTTATTATTTTTAGCCAAATAAAAAAAATCAGCCTAAATAATGTAGTTTTATCCATGTTTTATTATAAATTGTATTCGAAAAAAAATATCTAAAAAAGTAACATACTTAAAAAGGTAAAAATATATTTTATTTTTCAAAAAATGCCACATATACAGAAAAATCTACGTGGCAGGCGAGTGCACCCACACAATTTACCACATCAGCGTCCAGGGGGTAATGGCTCTCAAAAGGCCTAGTTGAGGGGGGTAATTAAGACCACGAATAATTTAAGGCTGTAACTAATAATCCATGACAACTGAACATAAAACTTTGTCTCTGATTCGAAATGTGTATCCAGTGTATGAAGCTGTGGTTTCAACTGAACACATAGCTTTCGCTTATACTTTGTATTTTGGCCAAAAAAATTATTAAATATGTACAAATAATAAAATTTGAACTTATTAAATTAGATGAGATGGAATAGAATTGCGAATTTGAACCCATAAAATTCTGGATCCGCCTCTGTCTGAGACTCTGTATTGCTCCATGTCAATTAAGAAACTAGATTGCTCGTATGGTGAAAATGTGCTTAGATCCTCGCAACATCAAGCTTTGGTATACTAAGTTGCCATGTATATAGTTTGGTAGAAGGTAGTTAAGGACACATGATATAGTGGATGTGCACAAAAGCTGAACAACATTGTTATTAAAAAAAATTGCGACATCAAATTGTAGAGATATAAATTGTAGTTGAGGCATCTTGTACATGGTGTGTATTTAATGTGTATACTTCTAGATATATCTATTAGTTAGTTATCTAGTTAGCATAATAATGACTTTGTATATATTAGTTACACATTGTATTTTGGAAACATAATTGAAGAAATACAGATTACACTTTTCTCTCTTTACGATTTATCATTTTCCACTATGTGTTCTCTCTCTTTCTCTCACTAGACCTTGCCTCCATTTCCATGGCAGATCTAGGTTAGTTTTGACATGGTATCAGAGCAGGTCCACTTCGATGGGAATCTGAAGCTTCTAGCTACTCTCGATTTCTCTAAATTCAGTCTCTTTCTTCGATTTTCATCATTTCCCTAAATTTCTGACCAATGACGAATTCAACTAGGATGACGAGTGATTCTCCCCAAAATTGGAGTTGGAACGTCACATGCAAGCACTCAATTGCTTGATTGCGATGAGCCGTTGTTTGTTCATCCTTCAGACATGCCGAGAGTTGCATTGGTTCCTCAATTGTTGATCAGAACAGTAGAGTCACTCTATGAAAATGTCACTTTTGGTGAAGAACAAAATAGGTTTCATCGATGAAACTTTTACTAGAGAGAGATATGGAGCAGATGCATTCAGAT